TCTGGAACAGGGTGCACACTCACCCTCACCATGGCCCATGTGCAGAGTAGCCTGGCCCTCTCAAAGAACTAGGATGAACAGAGAGAAGGTATTATTTGAAATGGACGACGATCCCAAATAGGGGTTGGTCCCAGTGCATGTTCAAAAACAAGAGAATTGGCTGAAATCCACTGAAGAATTATAAGATGGTGACCTAGAATGGGAACCCTGAAATAATAATTAGGGCAGCAAGGATAGAATCAAATGATTGGTGATCCAAGGAAGAGGAGTGAAGGAACTAGGGTGAGTCTGAGTGAGTAACGAAGATAGGATGCGGCATGTGGCTTTCATGTATTCACAGTGAGTCTGCATAGATGGGCTTCAGCCATTTTGGGTAAAGGATGGAGTAGACATAGAGTAGAACTTGATAAATGTCCTCTGAAATGAAAGACAGCAGTTCAGTACCTTATTATGCAGGTCATTAAGAACCACCAAAGAACCTCTGAACTGAAGACATTGTTGTCATCCTCTGCAAGGATTTGTAAGTATATCCCACTCCTACCTCTCAGATGTATACAGGATTTACTACAGACATGGTAAAACAGCTATTCCCATCCTGAATTTATAAACTCAGGAGCATAAAAGTCATAGATATGAAATGTGAAAATGGCATTCTACATTATGGATGTCAATAATTGCCCCCCGCAACAGCTTCTCATCCTTATTACTTGTCGTCATGTTACCCAAAATAAGTCCTGTCTCCTCACTTCCTTAAGCTCTTCTTATTTCTTTGTCCTCCACCCATTCTCAGCCACTCATTCCCCTAGTTACACTTGCAACTTTGTCATCACCAATAATTACATCTCCTTAATCTCAATCTCATGGCTCTCTTTCTTTGACCAACACCTCCACTCTTCTACCTCCTTCCTTCTAGTAGTCCAACACCAATGACCTTTCTATTCCATCAGACTTTCAATCCATTGGTCCTACTGTATTTTCCCTGCCCTTCATCCCCTCACTGTCATGATTCCCTTGCTGTCTTGATTCCTTCTTCACCTATCTTAAATTCCATGTTCAATTGTTATAACCCTTGCATATGTCTTTGACTCGCTTTCCATTTTCTCATATATTCATTTTAACAAACTGCAGCCTTGATTAAATCCAGCTTTTTGCTTGGTGCCTGTATCTGTGCTTGGACAAATGTAGTTGGAGGAAAAGATATAATTACACTGGCTAGTTGCACTTTAAAATCATGACCTTGACTCAAATAAACTTTTTAATGCAGAGAAACAATTTTACTCTTTGTCCCTGGCCAATGCACACTCTCATTGTTCTAGAATTGCTTCATGATTTGTTACAGTCTCATTCCATGTACTCCCTCCTATGCAACTGATTTTTAAATTGAATTTTGTCAAAGTAAAACAGGTACATAGTTTAACAAGTCAATAAATAATACTAGGTAGGTAACTAAGAAACAGTAGTTTTGTGCCAAATTTCCTTTAATTCCCAATTCCCATGGTAATATTTTTAACTCTTATGTTTTCCCCCATAGACCATGATTATACTACCATTTCTTATTTTTTCAATGATAGTGCCTTTACACACACACTCATGTTATTCTTCTGACTGTTCTCGCATTCTTCCAGTTTGGTTTCTTTTTCCAAAATTTTTGGGTAAGTCATTTTTCAATGTTTATATTATTACTATGTAATTAATATTCACAGTTGAACTTACACAGTATGCTAGGATAACATTTTTTCTTCTTTTTGAAAAATAATGTTTGATTTTTTTCTTGGAATTAATTATTGCCACTTCTTTATTTGCAAAATTTTCTTTGCATCAGTTGTGAAATCTCTGAAACTTTCCCCTGGAATAGACCAGAAAGTCTTGTCTGAGTGTGTTTACAACCTGTCAAGTATTCTGTTATATTTTCTTCATGGCTGTCTAGTCCAGAAGCCTCCTGCATCTGTTCTAGTCAAGCTGATTTCTCTCTAGAGAGAAATCTAGAGAAACTTCTAGATGTTTCTAACTAGAGCTGCTATCCTGGGACTTCTCTTCACTCTCATCCTGTGAACGCCTTCACCTTTCCTGTGTAGGAGCCTTGTTACCTCGTTTCCCTGTCTTTCTCCTTCCTGCTTAACTTTTCACTGAGGAGGAATGAATGGGTCAACCAGTAGCTTCCTGGGAAAGGTAGCTGGAAAGACAATTTTGGGGGTATATTGAAACTCTGAAATATCCTTATTTCACCTATATGCCTGACTGATAGTTTGGCTGGGTACAGAATTCTAGATTGGCATCAATTTCTTCTCACATTTTGATGATATTGCTACATTGTTTTCTACCAGTGTTGCTAATAGGAGTTTTAATGACAGTGATATATCTTTTGTAAATGAACACTTTTTTTTTTTCCACCGTTCACATAATTTTAGGCTTTTATCTTTGTCCCTGGTATTTACAAATACCACACGATGGACCATTATACAGAATATTTTTTCATCGATTGCACTGTTTTTTCAGTGACCCCTTCCAATCTGGAAACTCATGTTTTTCAGTTCTTGAAGGTAGTACTGAAATTATAATAGAATTGTTACTCTTTATTTTCCCTCTTTTTCTTTTCTAGAACTCGTGTTAGTTGGCTGCTATGTATCCTGGATTGATCCTCTAGTTTCCTTACTTATTTCACAAACTTTCTTTCTCTCTTTTTTCTACTTCCTGGGATATTTCCTCAACATTATTTTCAAACACTTCTGTTGGATTTAAATTTTTGCTATTGTATTTTTAATTTTCAAGAACACTTTTTTTGGGTAACAAAATACTGTTTATTGTTTACTTTTTAAATTGACAAAAATCATATATATTAATTGTGTACAACCTATTTTAAAATATATGTATATGTTGTGGATGGCTACATCGAGCTAACATAGGAATTACTTCATATATATACTTTTTTTTTGGTGAGAATACTTGAAATCTATTCTCTTAGCAATTTTCAAGAATACAATACATCGTTATCAACTATAGTCATCATTTTGTATCAATAACTCTTTCTGACATTCTGAATGTATCCCTTTTGTATTGTATCATGTTCTTTTTCATGGACTTTTTTCATTTCTTAATTTTTGGAGGCTGTCAGACATAAAATATTGCTATTAGTCCTGGACACGGCATACAAACAAAAAATTGTTGGCCTGGCGCGGTGGCTCATGCCTGTAATCCCAGCACTTTGGGAGGCTGAGGTGGGTGGATCACCTGAGGTCAGGAGTTCAAGACCAGCCTGGCCAACATGGGGAAACCCCATCTCTACTAAAAATACAAAAATTAGCCAGATGTGGTGGCTCACACCTGTAATCCCAGCTACTAAGGAGACTGAGGCAGGAGAATGGATTGGACCTGGGAGGCGGAGGTTGCAGTGAGCTGAGATTGTACCATGGCATTCCAGCCTGGGCAAGAGAGCATGAGTCTGTCTCAAATAAATAAATAAATAAATAAAATAAAAATACATAAAAAATATTGTTAAAGAGCACCTGAATGCCTCTGTCCCTTGATAGTTGGTGCTCAGTGCTGGGCATGAGATGTAATTTAAATGTTAGTTCTCATCATTCCAGGGAAATCTTTCTTCACTACTCTTGCCTTATGTCTTGTCTCAAAACTGAAGATAATTGTTTTTAAATGCTGAGAAGGTTTGTGGGTGGTGTCACTAAGGACATGAGAGGACACTGGTTAGACGAGTGGTGAGGATGTGAAAGGTGGCAGCACTTATGTAAATGTAAAACATTTGAAATTAATTTGTCAAATCATTTTCTCAGATTGCATGAATACAATAGATTCTTGCATAATGAAGTATAATTTTCCAGTAGTACCCGGTATCCATTTCTTGTTTCTCTTCAGGTTTTAATTGTGGTTTCAGAGTTATTCACGGATTGACATAATATTTGCTACAGTTGCTTCTAACAGCTGAAGAACATTTTCAATTTTAAACAAAAATACTCTTCGATTTGTGTATGTGTGGATCCAGATGTAACATTGTGAAATGTAATACTAATTCTTCATTGGCAAGTAGATGGACATTGAATTGGGAATAAATTTATTTTTATAAAGTACATAGTAAGATATAATTAAGTAAAAAAAGTTAAATAAAATTCAGCTTTACTTAAATAATTTTGATTTAAATTTGATATTTTAAATTACTTTTTTTGTCTTTTAATTTTAATGGATTACTTTGTGTGCTTTGGAAAAAATACCTTTTTGAAACATATTATAAAAATAAACTTTTTATTTTTTGAAATTTACTATTTGTTGAAAATATATTGAAATTTTGTAAACTTTGATACAAATATATTTTAAAATCTCATTACTATCAATAGAATATGAAACATGAAAATCTCAATGATAACAGTGATTTTGCTGAAATGAAGGCAAGGAAAATAAAGCTTATGGAATAAATAAGTAGTAATTATGAACCATGTTTGCTTTTATTACTTATCTACACACTGCTACTAGCCCAACAACAGAACATTAGGAAAAGACAATAATAATTATATTTAGTCATTGTTGAGAGATATATATACACATATATATGTATTTCTTTTGCCTCAAAAAGTGATATTTATTCAAAGAAAAAAACAAGATGTCCACTTCTTTTCTCCCTTCCTTCCCCTCTCCTGCTGCTCCTCAGCCCCCCAAGATTGAACCCTGACTGGGGCTAGGTAGTAGGACATCCCCTCAGATGAGGTCAGCAACATTGAGGGGCATCTTCCCAGTGGAGGTGTTGTAGAAAGTTTCAATGTCTTGAAGAGTTCTCTTGTCTTCTTCTTTCACCATGTTAATAGCCACACCCTTATGGCCAAACCGTCCACCTCGACTGATTCTGTGGATATACTTTTCCCTATTGATGGGAAGGTCATAGTTGATGACTAAAGAAACCTACTGTACATCAGAGCCTCTGGCCTATGTCAAGAAAGGCAACTCTTCAGCATGTGCATGAGAGGACAATCTATCCTGAAGGGAAGAGACTTAGGTGTCCATGTAGGCAGCCAAGGAAGGCAGAGGAAATAAGCATCCCCTGTTCCCCAAAGACCTTAGACATGCTAGATTCTATTCTAAGTTAGTACTTTCCTGAGAGGGGTACTGCATGTTCCCTTGGAGAGGGAGTCCCCTTGGATTGTTGATATTTTTTGATTTTTAGTTATTTAAAACCCTAGCTTTACACACGCTTTTCAATTTTATTGTTGTGAGGGAATATTCATCAAGATAAGAGGAGAGAGCATATTTTATTTGTTAGCTTGATCTATACTTTTAAATATTTAACCATATGGTACATGGGCCTTGATACATATTCTTTCCCTAGGTGACTTAGAGTCCTGGTTATTCTCTTGGGCCTAGGCCCAGAATTGAAGGCTACTGAAATTATTACCCGAGCCCTTCACTGTGTTCATGTCTTCTTTCCCCTGTCAGCCACTCCTCCTCTAAATTGGAATAGCAAAGCAAAATGGAGAATAATATATGATTTATGTTCTAACAATCCATGGTTGAGATAGAAAATAGCAAGATGTTCTTTATATAATCAAGCACTTGTGGTGAGATGAAATGTCCTAGTATCTTTGAGAAGGAACCAATAAGCATTACCAGCTCCTTGAGGATAGAGGCTATGTAGAATTAATCTTTTTTCTTTAACTGTGCCTAGCAGAGTATCTTGCAAATTAGGGAATGTTTTTGGAAACAAGGCAACTTTGCAAGGCTTGGAAGATGAGTAGAGTTTGCATAGACAAAGGGTTGGAAGCATCTGAGCTGGGAATGCAATTGTCAGCCAGGTACAAAGGTACATGTGTGTACCTATGTATGTATGCATGTATGTGTATGCATGTTTGTATAAAGGTACACACGTGTACCTGTGTATGGTGTGCATGTGTGTTTATGAGACAGATGAGACTAAGGGTGCGAGAGGGGTGAGGGTAGAAAGGAAGAAATTTTAGCTCAGGTGAACTGGAAGGTATGCTGGAGGAAAGTTAGAAATTAGATGGGATAAAATAGGGCCCCGACTGATGCAAGACCTTGGGAAAAAAACATTATTCTCAAGTTACATTAGGAACGTGTGGAACAGAGAGGACAGTGCTGCTGTTGGAAAAAAGGTGATTTAATGGGTAATTGCAAATTATTGTAATTACTTCCAATCAAACAAAACAAAGGGGGAATAATTAAGACAGTGCCAACTTGTAAGAAATTTGAGTTTTAATGTCTGCAAAGCTCCAGCGTAAGCAGAAAGGAAAGCGCATTACCTACCTTACAACCGGGCACTTTTTCTAAAGACATTTTAAAGAGCCAATTTTTTGACTGCCTTTGCTTAACTATAAAGAAAGCAAAGAGAAGCAGGAAGGGTGAGGGCCAGGAAAATTTGAGATGATTTTTCCCTTGTTACATAATGAAATTTTAAAAAAAAGTAGATAAGCGCATCAGTCCATCAGTTTCTTTGATTTTGGGCCAAGTCGAAATGTCCTCTGTTCTGTTTGCTCGTTTTTAAAAAGCTTCATGTTAACAAACTCTAATCCATTTAAGTCTTCTTTTGGAAGGACATTTATGCTCATAAGAAGATGCAACACCTGTCAAAGAAAATCTTGTGAGGTTGAGAAGATGAGCAGTTTTTATTAAAGTGAATCCAAAAAAGAACTGGGGCAAATTTATCTCCAGCACTCCTAGTCCTAAGAAAGGTGTTGGAGAATATTTAAGGGAAGGAGCTGGTCCCAAATGGTCCTTTTTTTGTTTGTTTTGTTATACAAAATACAACAAACATGCACCCCACAGTAGGGGAATTACCCTGTAAGTAAAAGTCATTGCAATAATATCGGGGAGTTCCATTGCTGGTCCTATTATCAGTTGGCTCTGTGACTTTGGAAAACTAATGCCACCTTTTTGTGCCCCTATTTTCATTATCTGAGAACTTAAAGAATTGAAATACATGATTGCCAAGGTTTAGGAGGAAGAAATGGAGGGCCAGGGGCAGGTGGGAAGTGGTTGTCCAGAGAAAGATCTGGGTGCTAAGTGTGTTCATTGTTTCTGGGGTTCACTGTTACAAGGCTTTTGAGCCTTGTCAACTGACAGAGCAAAAAAATGTATGTGTGTAGTAACTCATTATAAACACATACCTATAAATAGATCTGAATATAACTGCCTTGTCTATAGAAATCCAAACATAACTTCATACTGATAGCTCCAACTCAAATCCGTTTCCAGATGGATCAGTCTAGCCTCCTCCGCTTGTTTAATTGCAACCTCCAACTCCAACAATGAGAATCTGGCTCCCACCATTTGAGATCCATTTATTTACTTGTTCAGTTCTAGTATGTTTGTACAGTGGTATCATGATTGTTAAATTATACCCTGTGGGAAACAGCTTTATCAACTAGAGTATAGTGCTTTTGTACAATTTGTTTTGGCTTTGATGTTACGGAGTCCACCCATTTTCAGGTTTGTTAGGTTAGTATCTCTCCCCAACCCCCTTCAGGGAGGTGGTTTTATACATTTGTAATACAATTAGATTATTTTGCCATATTTTGCATTTCATCTTGATATTCTTCAAACTTCTAAATGATTTTTGAAAACAGTGCATGCATTAAGGCTTGCTCTTTGTGCTTATGAAGCTCTGTGGGTTTTGACAAATGCATAGTATAATAATGTATTTACCATTACAGTATCATAAAGAATAATGTTGCCACCCTAAAAAATTCCTTGGGGTTTACCTACTCAACTCTCTCTCCTTCCCCCAGATCCTGGCCAACACTGATATTTTTACTGTGTTTATAGTTTTGCCTTTACCAGAATGTCATATAGTTGGAATCACATAGCATATAGGCTTTTCAGACTGACATTTTTCATTTAGCAACGAATGCATTTGAAATTTCTCCATGTCTTTTGGCAGCTTGGTAGTTCTTCAAAAATCACTAAGTAATATCCCATTGTATGAATGTACCACTTTGTTTATCCATTCAGCTATTTAAGCATATCTTAGTTGTTTCCTGTTTTGGGCAATTATGAGTAAAGTTACTACAAGCATTCCCTTGCAGTTTTTTGTGTAGGCATGAGTTTTCAAATCAGTTGGGTGAATACCTAGAAGCATGATTGCTACATCTTATAATTAGAAAGTGCCAAACTGCCTTCCAAAGTGGCTGTACTATTTTACATTCTTATTAACAATAAATGAGATGAATATTACTTTTTAAATTGACCCAGGAGATTTAAAATGAAAATCTTTGACTTTGCTGGAAAGTTTTTGGTTCCCTTTCATGAAGGGGAGAGTACAGAGATGGTTCAGGGATCAAACACTTGAGGGTTATGGAGACCAAGAAGAGAATAAATTAAGAAAATGGATATGTATGAGAAAAATAGAGTGACTGGGTCTGTGGCTACTCAAAGTATATGTCTAGCTGCCACTTGGCTGTAGCTAATTGTTTTGATGCAGGAACTTGGGTCCAGTGTTTCTAAATTTTGTAAGTTTTTCAAGAGAAGCCAAAAATCTAGATTTGTATAGACTGTTCCATTTTAAAAAAATATAGACAATAAACTTTACATATTAAAAGTATAAAATTTGGTAAAGTTTGACATATGTTTATGCCACTAAACCCATCACTCCAAACACTTTTCTCATTTTTCTTGAAAATCCCTTTCCTATCCCACCTCCCAGACAGTCATTGATCTTTTTTGTCACTATACATTAGTTTGCATTTTCTAGAGTTTTTTTTAAGTAAATAAAAGTATACATTGAGCATTCCTTTTATCTCCCTTCTTTGTTCAGTATAAATATTTTCAGATTTATTCATGTTGTGTTATCAATAGTTCATTTTTATAGCTGCATAGTTTTACATTGCATGGTATACTATAACTTGTCTATCCATCCATCTATTACTATTCATTTAGGTTGTTTCAAATTTTGGGTATGACAAAGATGATTTGCATATTTGTATACAAGTTTTTATATGGATGTGTATTTTTTATTTCATATTAATATTCTTAGAATGATTGGGTCATGCAATAAATGAACAGTTAAACTTTAAAGAAACTGCCAAAATATTATCCAGAGTGGTTGCATCATTTTACATTCTCACCAGCAGTGAAGGAGAGTTCCATTCTTCCGAGTCCTCACCAACACTTGGTATGATTAGTCCTTTTAATTTTAGCTATTCCAGTGGGTGTGTAGTGGTATCCTTTTGTAGTTTTAATTTGCACTTTCCTGGTCACTAATAATACTGAGCATATTTTCGTCCTTTATTTGTCCTTCACATATCTTCTTTGGTGAAGTGTCTATTCAAATAGTTTGTCTGTTATTATATTGAGTTGTGGTTTTCTTATTGGGAATGGAGAGGTTTAAGAATATTATATATATATTTCAGTTCTAGTATAGGTGTATAGTGGTATCATGATTGTTAAGTTATACCTTGTGGGAAACAACTTTATCAACTAGGGTATAGTACTTACGTACAGTTTGTTCTGCCTTTGATGTTGTGGAGTTCACCGATTTTCAGGTTTGTTAGGATAGTACCTCCCCCTAACCTCCTTCAGTGAGGTAAATAAGTGTGTGTGTGTGTGTGTGTGTGTGTGTGTGTGTGTGTGTGTATTCTGTATGCATCCTTCATCAGATATATGCTTTGCGGATAATTGCTTGCTATCTGTGTTTGCTGTTTTTATTTTCTTGGCAGGGTCTTTTGAGGAGCAGATTGATTTGTTCTTGGGTCTTAATTTATAGAGATTATTGAGTGACAACACAGATAGGTTAATGCCATTGAGAGAAAAGCTTAATGTTACTCATAGTTTCCTTAGAAATGATAGGCACAGCATAAAATACTGGCCACAGGTGAAGCAGCAGTGTCAGTTAGGAGGCAGAAAGAAGCAAGGGGAAGGCACAGGTCACAGAACTTATTGGGGTCTCTATTGGAAAGGCAAAGTAGGGCAGGGGAAAAAACTTACGATCAGCTCCAGCAGCCTTTAGGGTACAGGGTTGTCCCTAGTTGTTTGGTACCTTGCCCTGGGTTGATTTAGGGCAGGGGAAATACTGACTTGGTGTGTGAGAATTAGATAAAGGAGGTGATTGGGGATATGAACTCTGGATTGGTTAGTTATTTAATAATATATGAAAGGTAGGCTTACCAACAAATTGTTTACTCTCTCTGGGAAT